GTGCATTCGATGTTGGGTTAACATGCAAAGAAAACATATGATCTCTGAGCATGCTGTCCGATTTGAAATACATTTTACAAATTTGACATCTTAATATCTCTTCTTGTTATGGTAGTATCTTAAATGTGCTGTTAATTTACTCGAGCAATAAAATTTCTTAGAACAAATCTCACATTGATATTGTAATCTGTGTGTATCCTGGTGGGATATTAAATCAAGCCTGTCTTCGAAAGATTGTTTACAGATATTACACTTGAATAAAACCTTGCGTAAATGTTCTGTTATTATATGACTTGCCAGTTTTGATCGATTGTTGAAAATTTCTGTGCATATTTTGCACTTGAATCTCATTTCTAAATGTTTTGCTAAATGTTGATTGAAAGAGTGTCTTGATTTGAACGAGTTTTTGCAGTGTTTACATTTGTATATACCTTGTTGCAAGTGTATGCGATATTGAGCATACCTAGAGAACTCTTCATTGCAACTACTACATTTGTAAGACTCTGTTCCAAAATGTGTGTTCAGATGAAATCTTAAACCTGGTCTAGACATGAACAACCTGTCACAATAGGTGCATTTGTGATATCTTCTCGCCTTATGCATTTTTAAGTGCCTCGATAAATAAATACCTAATGAAAAAACCTTTGGGCAATGTCTACATCGATACACTTTATCTCTGACATGCGTTTTAACATGTCTAGTTAAATGATGTTTATATGTAAAGGGTCTGTTACAAATATGACATTTGAAGGGTTTTTCAACATTTACCACTTTGTTGGAACTTTCTTCATTCTTGTCCAAGTATTGTGTACTTTTTTTAACCTGTGTGCACTGCTTGAATAGATCAGGGGATTCTCTCAGGCTGAGATATTTGTCCACAAATTCTTCCTGCGACTTGATATCAGTATCAAAAATATTGCAGCCGGATTTTATATCTAATCTAATATCCCATAAATCATCATTGTTATTATTATTATCATTACTGCCAAAAGAACTCTCAAGGTTTGCCATAGAGTTTGACTCTACAAAACCTAAAACCTGATTTTTATCCATTACATCTAAAAAAGAAAAACATAGTTAGCACACGCATTTTCAAAATTAATATACAACTAATTACAATGTAATTATGTATATATTTATATATAAATAATATAAAATCCAACATTACTTACGAATTAAATTACGATTCCATTAGCACAAAAAGAAGCGCCAAACTGGTTCGCTTATGAATCTGCCATTACATGTCTACCGCCTTCGTCGAAATATGGCGGGTGTTTTTTTAATAACATAAACTATTGCTTAAGTTATAATTATAACATAACATATATGAGAAATAACATTGGGTTTATAAAATAAAATATTAAATGTTTATAAAGAAATAATTGGAAAAGGCATTTATATATATGTAAAGAATTGCTTTTTTTAAAGAATTTAAATTTATGTAAAGCTGCCGAATATTCGGTATTCGGTCTCTGAAATATGCCGAATATTCGGTATTCGGCATTTTGCCGAATATAGTATTCGTTGCAAGCCTAATTCTAATATTGTCCAGACTTAAGGCAACTTGCTTCAACGGCTTTAACTTCCTGATATGTGTATATAATAATCTTCTATATATATAAAAATAAGTCGGGTTTTCCTTCCTGACGAAATAACTCCAGAACGCACGATTTCGACAATTTTGCATTCGTTGGAAAGGTCTCGGGTTCCACAAGGGCTATAGCTAAGAAAATTAGTGGTGCATGGCATCGTGTCCTAATGCAAATTCCTGGAACTTCACGCACCGTGATTAAAAATTCGATTAATAAAAATAATCAATAATTGTTTTAAATAATTGCAGATAGATTATCTTCTATATGTATATAAAAATATGTCGGGTTTTCCTTCCTGATTTATTTTTTTTCTTTTCAAATTTAAAACAAACAAAAAATTTCTTCATCTTTCTCACGAAAACATCTGGTGGGGAAACGGAGTTCATCGTGTTTGCTAGTATTATATTATTATGAGTTTTCATAAGCACTCGACTGTTATCCCAAGGATGCAATTTATTATTCAAAACTTTTATAATCAAACCACATTTTGTAAGCCTATAAAATTTTATGATATTCCTGTAAACCCTGAACAAAGCTTCATTGATCATGAAGAAACGGCCCGGCTGATCTTTACGAAAAACTAATCACCATGGAGACTTGTGCACAAGTCTCGATAGACGTAGTATGAAAATTGTGATTGAATATAAATAAAGTTTACATGATTTGGCCATAGACCTTATACAATACATGAAATTGTATAAGGTCTATGGATTTGGCGCATTGGTTTCTACAAATTTGCATCTTACAAATTATCGAATCCATCTTAAAATAATCTTGGCAAAATTATAGATAATCAAATTTATCTTAGATATTATATATGCAAAATTCTTTATTATTATAAATTGTTATTAAACTTGAACATGTGCTTTCAAATCACGTTAGAATATTTAGCTAACACATGTCTTTTGAATTATCTAATTTATCTTAAAACAATATCTTTCATATTTGCAAATAGTTAAGGTACCTACACGTAAATAATCAAAATTAGTACAGGATTCTTGCAAAGCTATTGGCAGAAAACGTCAATAAAAGATCAAATTTTGTCACAAAAGGGTACTTTTTTATATATTGCGGTCAAACGCTTCAGAATGACTTGAAACAAAAGATTCGCAAATTGGAGTTTCTAGCGAAAACTTAAACGACTCGTTCAAAAAGTGAATGAATATCATATTTGTTATCTACTTTTCAAGATCTATTAATTAATAATTATATTAATACCTTTAATATTTTTTTTTAATTTCAGCCACATCATCCCTTCTTCCTTACTTGACGATTCACATGCAAAGTATCGGCCTGACAGTTGAAGAAATTGCTATAATTTATTTAGCACTACCATTCACAACATTTTTGAGTCCACCTATAACAGGTAAAAGAAATGCTTTTATTAAATAATTTATTGATTTTTTCACAATTTGTTTTTTTTTTTTTCCAGGTTTTCTCGTGGACAAGTTTGGCAAATACAAACCAGTTGTAATAATGACTTTATTATTAAATGCTGTTTTCCATCACTCACTCTTGTTCATACCACACCAGGAGACTCCTGGGGTTGTTCCTGATGCTTACATTATGAAACATCCTGAAAAACTTTACATAGAGGTATAGTAATAATTAAAATATTTTTTTTTGTAATTTTAATCTGTCACACTTAGGACATTCAGTAATTGTTTTGACTTTATTATATGGATGGCAACCCAGTAGTTGTCCAATCTAGTTATGACTAATTAACTATAAGTATATATACTCGAAGTATTAGCTGATATTTTTATTATGTTTATGCAACTATACCCACGATAGGCGATTTTCACTTGAGGCTATATTTAAGATCTATAACCTCAAGTGGAAATTTGACATCAAATTTGCCTGATGTCGGACTTTGGCGGTAGCGGCAATCAAACCAAGGAACCCGGGACTAATTGGTGCTAGCTCACGTTAGAGCCAATATTGCCACCACTGGCTTTTTTTAGACAACTTACAATTTATAATATTCAATAGTTTCAGACAAAAAACATCATTTTAAACCAATTTACAACATTTTCAGACAACATTTTTAGGAAATCCACAGAATTTTTAGACAATCTTTAACATTTTCAGACAATATACAACATTTTTAGACAATCTACAACATTTTCAAATATTCTACAACATATTCAGGTACATCACAACTGAGACCTGGAGACAATTTATTTTCTGGAAGTATTGCCTACGATTTTCAGACAATCAAAATTTTTTTAGACAGCCTACAACATTTTCAAACAATCTACAATACTTTCAGCCACATTACAACATACTTTGGTAATCTACAATGTTTTCAGATAATTTACAGCATTGTCAGACAATCCTCAACTTTAAAATTATTATTAGACCATTTGCAAAATCTCTAGATCTTCAACAACTTTAAACTTGATTATCTACGAACTTCAACATTATTAGGCAATCCATAAAATTTTTAGACAATGTGCAATATTTTTGACAATCTACAACATTTTCAGACAATTTACAACATTGTCAGACAATCTACAACTTCAAAATTATTATTAGACCATTTGCAAAATATCTGGATCTTCAACAACTTTATATTTGTTTATCTACGATCTTCAACATTATTAGGCAATCTATAAAATTTTTAGACAATTTGCAACATTGTAGATGATCTACAACATTTTCAGTCATTTTAAGACATATTCCATACTATATATCTGTTTGTTTCTATCCCCCTTCTGCTAGAACTTTGAACCTAGCCGTTGGCATTAGTCTTATGAAGTTTCACTTCACTAAAATATCTATTACCCTATTACCATATACTTTTCTACTACTAAATATTTCCATTACCCTAGGTGTGGTGGTCACCATGTCCAAGCCGAGAATGTCCAGAAGAAGAAGTAGTGGATTTAGTAGTCGACCAGTGTGTAGAACATTGTTTGCTGTTTGCTTCGGAGGAACCAGAGAACCCCCTTGCAGGTTCTAAGGATATACTGGATCATGGTGGAATTGGAAATGTATCTGAAAAAGGGCTGTTTCTTGAAAAAGATTGGAAAAATGATAGTTATGCAGATAGCTGGAAAGGGGAAATTGAGGAAAGGTAAGAAATACTAATTTACTTTTTAATTGCGAATTGTTACAAGACATAAAAAATAATAGTTATATTGATATTTACATTAAGAATGAAATTAGATTTCTTGGATTGGAAATTAAAAAAAAAAAATTGTATTGTTGTTCTATAATATTTTGTCTAGTAGGAGAGACTGAGTACGGTTGTACCATGATACGGTAGTGATAGTAGTCATAAGAGCTAAACTTTACTTATTATGAGAAAGTACCAAGGGGAAAAGATGTAGTATGTTTGTTTGGACAAGTTTCCATTATTGCTTTTATTCATCTGTAGACCGCTAATCCAAAGTAAAAGTTGCATTTGAATTTTTCAAAAAACTTTCTGCTTGTGTTGACAAAAACAATGCTTTTAACGATTTTTTTTTGTTTCTGAAAAAAGTTTTGAAGTAAAACTTCTTTAGGCGCGACCAGGGTGTAAATCTGTAAAAATGCAACCGAAGAGCATTACGCTCGTGTCTAGTGCCAATGATTCATCTTTCGCTCTCGATGATATCATTTTTGTATGGGTCGATTGCGATTGGTCGTCGTGTTGCTTGAGTATGATTGCTTTAATTACATGATGTGAAACAACTGTTCTAGTTCAAATGTCAAAGCTTACCATTTTATTTTACTGATCCTGAACGTAAAGTATTACAAAGTTGAATATTTTTTTAAATAATTATAAATAATAAAGAATGAATTGATATCAGATTTATTACTCTAAACAAGAAATCAAGCACAACAATGTTTGTGTAGCTGTGTATCATTTATATACATATATACTTCATAATGGGCATCTATGCAGTTTATTCATTGATAGTGTTAATGAAATTACTCAAGATTGTTATAAGTCCACTGTGTGAACAAATATTATAGAGTTTATTAATCAGCAATCTTCATTTCTCTGATGAAAATTCTCTAAGGTTCAAGTTCTAAATGCTAATTACAATGACAAACCGATTATGTCGTATTTGAAGTATGACTTTAATTACATTACTGTTTTCAATATTTAATTACATTATTATAAATATTTTTAATAAATATATAATTTATAATTTATTATTATGTATAATGGTTGACATTAATAAATGTGCGCATCACGAGTGTTACCATGTTACTAATGAACATTATTCAAAATTGTTATATTATGTATCAAGTTATTTAAAAAGTTTTACTTCAATCGTTCGCGAACCTTACGCGCACTCTTTTTTTAATTAAATTTTGTTTTTTGAATATTTCATAATGGTACGGAAAGTTCTAGCAATTTGCCTTAAGACACGATGTCATACACCACTAGTTATTATTTGTCTTATTTTAATATTTAACATTCATCAAAAGTTTAAAGAAAACAAATTTGCACTATAGTTGCACGTCTCTATGTAAAAGCACTCTCTTTACCTCTGTTACTCTCTCATCTATGCACTTTGCCATGTCTATGCTTTCAGTTGTCAAGCCTAATGTCAAACAACTAATGTTATCATTTCCAATACAATTACTAATTTAGTTAAATTCACCATAATATTTATGAAGTTCTTTAATTAAAACAGATAATTAAAATAGTAAGGAACCATTTTGCCAATACTTATTGAATATACGCCGTGCAGCATTTAAAATGTCAGAAGAAGCTAATGTGTCTATCAATAATCAGACAATTAAAATTGAACCACTAGAATATTTAGTAGAAGAGATTGAAGATGAAATAAATGATGATGATGATATTGTTAAGTCTGAATCATCTACTGAAGATAATGATACGTCTTTAGAAAATTTTATGAATTCTGAAGTGACGATAGAGGAAGAAGTCAAACAGGAGATAATCGAGACACCCCTTTCTAAATGTAACATTTGTAACAGGTTATTTGCAGGATTGCATCATTTGCAAGAACATATGATATCACACCTGCCTAGTCCTAGTCATGGCTCCTATCAATGTGATGTATGCTTTAAGGTATTTAAACAAAAGGCATATTTGACAAAACACATGCTTGGTCATACAGGTAAACGCCCTTACATATGTGAAATATGCAGTAAAACTTTCGCACAAACAAGTGATCTGAAGAGGCACATGATCACTCATACAAAAGAGTTTCCTTTTAAATGTGAAGTGTGCGATAGGCCATTCAGTCAGAAAATCCATTTGGAAAGACACATGCTTATCCATAAAGGAGAGTATCCTTATAAATGTGAATTATGTGATAAAGCGTACCGTTTTCCTCATTGTTTAAAAGAGCACATGATTCTTCATACCGGACAACATTCCTATGCATGCGAATTATGCAATAAAACTTTCATTCTGAGTAAAAGTCTGAAAAGACACATGGCCACTCACACCTTAGAACGATCTTTTGAATGTGAAATATGCAAAAAAACATTCAATCAAAGAGGCAACTTGATAACACACATGTTTATCCATACTGAGCAACATCCTTATATATGTGAAATATGCAATAAGGCATTCAGGCGAAAAAGTAATTTAGAAAACCACATGTTAATTCATAAGGAAGGTCAGTTTGAATGTGAAATATGCAGTAAGAAATTCAAACAAATACAATCTTTTAAAAGGCACATGCTTCTTCATAGTGGAAAAGAAAGTTCCTCGTGAATGCAAAATATGCAATGAAAAACCTTCAGACATTTATGTAGTCTGCAAAATTACATGGTCATTTATTGAGATACCACATGCATATCCATATTGGTGACCTCCTTTTAAATGTGAAATATGCAGTAAAACTTTCAGTAGGAAAAATCACATGTTTATTCAGTGTTAAACGCCCCCATGAATGCAAAATATGTGATAAAACACTTAGACAATTAGACCATCTGAAAAAACACCTTTGTATTAATTGTTGCATATACATTAATGTGAAATATGAAATAAGGGTTTTTACACAAGTCAACCAATGTAATAAAAATCCATGATATAAGCAAAAACTAATTATATGAACATTTAGAACTATAAATAAATTCATATAAATATTTTTTGTCTTATTTCTATTGAATTTTCTTCTGTTTACAGATTTTTAGGCAATCAAATAGCAATAAAAAAAAAAGCATATACTTGGACAATCATATTCTTTCAAACAACAAAATTATTGAAGGCTGTTCCTGAAGACTCGAGATCATTTTAAATTGCTTTTAAATTGCTTTTTCTTAATGTGAGATACATTTTTGACATCCTTAAGGAATTAAGACTGTTTATTTCTCTTAGAGTTTATGCACTCGCAGGAATCTTTCTTGCCAATTTGAAATCTTGGTCGTTCTTATATATTTTTGTTAATCATATTATATGAATAATTCATTATCATATAATTAATATTTCTATGCTTATTTTCTTCCTGTAAGCTATAGAAATGGGTCGAAAATTGAAAATGAAATTATTTGCATTGCTTTATGTTTTAGAGATTTCTGAACATTTTGGCATTACCTTAGGCAAAATGAATGTACACATTCATTCAGAATGAGTCGTCGGGATACGTTTTCGGGCGCATGGAACAACCGATTTGAATGGTTCAAAAAACATTAAATTCGTATTGATAGGGAGATGTGCTGATTATTTTTGGCAAAGACAGGTCCAGCCGTCACGGAGATACGGAGCTAAGATTGCTGAAGATAGAAATCGAGTTTTTGAGAGAACGGAGCATCTGATTTGAATGGTTCAAAAAACATTCGATTCGTAATAATTGGGAGAAGGGGTGATTAGTTTTTGAAAAAGGCAGATCCAGCCGTTATTGAGATACCGAGCTAAATGTGCAAATAATGGCAGTTTGAGAGAACTAAGCATCCGATTTGAATGGTTTATAAAACTTTATGCTTGTTTTGACAAAATAATTGCTTTTGGAATAAACTTTTTTTTTCAAAAAAAAATTTTGTATATCGAAGATAATTCATATTAATTTTAATGCTGGCTAAAGTTCTAAGGATGACTTATATACTCTAAATAAATAGTTATAACTTTGTAATTCAGTTTATATAATTCTTGTAAATGTTACACAATATTGCAGTATTTAAAATAATCTATTGGTAAACATTTAATATTCCTCGAGTATTTAATTCTGGCACAGAAAGTTCTAGAAATTTGCTTTAAGGCACGATTCAATACACCAATAGTTGGTTTATTTGTTAAATGCTTACTTAGTCCATGACAAATTGTGGGTAAATATGTGGGAGCCTCTTTCGCTGAGTTTATGACAAAGGAAGATCAAATAGCAGATGTTTGATATCTTAGATGCTACCATTTATGATATTATTGAATATTTTACTTACTTAAAACTTTTACGTTATGTCTTTACTATACAAATTCTTCTAAACATCTTCTGAAACTGTTTTAGATTTAGTAACATGTTTCTTTGTCATTAGTATATTATGATTCTTCCATATTAAATATTTTTCATTTAGAATTTGCATATATTATAAATATTAATATTTATAATAACTATATAAATAATTTATAATAATTATAAAAATAATATATGGATAAATGCAACATATTTTGCAAGTTTTCTTGAATGTAATAGAATTAATATTTTCAAATAAAAATTTTCTGTTTGTGTTGCAAATGTCAAAATGTCAGGTGTACCACCATTTAAATAAAACTAAACATTTAAATAAATTAAATTAATTTGCATTTTAATTATTAACAAGAAAATAAAAAACAATTTAGTTTTTATATAATCATTATTATAATTTTTTTTATTCAAATTATTAAAATTTAATTTTAAGATTTTTAAATAATTATTTTTGTTTTGAATGTTGGTAATTGCTAAAGACGAGTTTGACAGTTTGCTTTCACATTTTTAATAAATAGTTGTACAAAGTTTATTTTAATTATTTTGATTATAAATATTCATTCATTATGAATAATATACGTAAAAATGTAAAATTTAAGCAGTTTCTACTTATGGTTGTGAATAAAACCATTAAAGTTTTAGTAAATTACAAAATTCAATCAAAACTTGTATAAGTCATCTCTTGGTTGAGATATATATAGTTTCAAGACATAATTTTGTTTCCAAATGATCAAAAAATTACAAAAGAATCTTTAAATTATTCAATAATGGAATATCAAGTTGCAAACAATTCCTTTAATAAAGACTTTACTGTTTCTGTCGATGCTGAAACAGAATTAAGTCTCGAAGATAATGGCGCATGTTTAGAAGGATTTGGAGGCTTTGAGGTAATAGAAGCAAATGTGAAAGAAAACAATTCTGTTCTCTTTGGGACTAGTAAAAGATTATATGTATGATCAAAAAATTATAAAAGAATTTTTAAATTATTCTATAATGAAATATCAAGTTGCAAAAAATTTCTTTAATGAAGACCTTACTGTTTCTGTCGATGCTGAAACAGAATTAAGTCTCGAAGATGATGGGGCATGTGTAGAAAGATTCGGAGGTAATAATAGATGAAGCAATTGTAAAAGATTACAATTTTGTTCCACTTGGGACTAGTGAAATATTATATGTGTGCAAAAAGTTGCTTCTTCATACAAATTCATTATCAAAACCTATTGTAGTTTATACTGGACAGAAATATAAAGTATGTTCTATTCCCAGAACTGCCTTATTAATGTGTAATCTGTAAAAAAAGAGTGCGCGTAAGGTTCACATGCAATTGAAGTAAAACTTTTTTGCTATTACACAAGATGGCATTTAAGTTGAAAATAAATACATCATAACAATTTTGAATAATGTTTATTAGTAATATGGTAACACTCTTGATGCACATTTTTTAATGTCAACCATTATACATATTTATATAGTAAAAATTATAAATTATATATTTATAATACCAATAAAAATATTTATAGTGTTTGAAAATAATAATGTAAAAAAGCCACACTTTAGACATGACTGGTTTGTCATTGTAATTAGCATTTACGACTTGAACCTTCATTAGGGAAATGAAGTAATTACTGATTAATAAATTCTATAATATTTGTAATATAACATGTAATATAACAATCTTAAGTAATTTCATTAACACTATCAATAAATAAACTGCAAAGATGTCCATTATACAGTATATCTGTATATAAATGATACACAGATCTCTTATTTAGAGTCTTAGAGTTCTTCATCATTTATAAAAATATGCAACTTTGTAATACCTAATGATCAGGATCAGTAAAATGAAATTGTAAGCTTTCACATTTGAATGAGAACAGTGAAATATCATCGAATCACCAATTTCTTCTTGTCGTGTTTTAGAAACATAATGGTTGAAAGTCTTTCATTTAATTTGTTCAGTCGTTTTCTCCCATTCATCGTCTTCGTTTTAAGAAAAAATAAATAATCCATTAATACTGGTAACTAAATTTATTGCAACATATAAAAGCTGCTAAATATTTGTTTAATAGTATTCGTATCTTCTCTTCAAACATATTACCTTGAGATTTGGGTATTGTAAGTTTTTTACAAGCATGATTTTCTATTTATCTTGTTTTGTTTTTATTCATCGCCATTGTCACGTTTTAACTTCCAAAACTAACATGAAATACTTCATTTGTATCGAAGACTGATTTTTTATGAAATTGCTGACGGAATATATGTTTCTTGATCAGCAAAATGACATAACCCATAAACATATCTGTAGCAATAGATATTGTTAAAGCTCATGCATTTAATATAATTTTCTTTGATGAGTTTCATTAATATTAGCTTCCCCAGATATAGCTTTCCCTCGAATGAATAATATAAGATTTTGACTTTAAATCTTCATTAATTTTATTACTTTCAAGAGCTTTAGTAGAAAGAGGAACTGGAAGAGGTACTATAGTTTCCATATTTTTTCCGTTGCATTTGCACAGATTTACTTCCTAAATGATCCTAAAGAAGTTTTACTTCAAAAAAAGTTTAATCTGGTATCGAATTTTAAACAACACCATTGTGGACACACATCAGTTAATAATGAATTAATGGTTGAACTATATTGGGTAAATGGATAAATTATATTTTCATAGATACATTAATTGTTCCAACAATATTTGCTAAAATCAACAAAAATTAGGTGTCAATGTTACTTTTATGTCAACAGTTGCAATCAATCTGCAACAATTTCAAGCAATTTATATCATTTACGAGCTAGTAATACTTAACATTCATTCAATTATTATAATTTATTATTTTTATTACAATTTCATTTATCTGTTCTAGAGACCAAAGCAAAGCAAATGGATCTACAATCATCCAGACATCAACGAGTGATGCCAGGACATTTGAGGATGCCATGAATTACAAAACTGCAGATCAGTCAAATACAGACGATGTGATATTTTTGATTCTGGATATGCATTCAAATCTTGGAGAACCTATAGAACATTTGGGGATAGAAATCGAACAGGATGAGAATGATACCAGCATTGATTATAAACACAGGTAAAATATAAAGGACTCTTTTGTATATATGCATTTGTCTGTATGAAGTAAAATGTCGTATGTGATATTTATGAAACAATATTACGTTTATGTTATGTAACAAATGATTTAAAATATTTCATTCTCCTAGGTTTGGAGAACAGATGTTACTGAAACATGGTGTAAACGTTTCCGATTTGGAAGAGAAGGATTTGCGTTGTGGAGGAACAACGATCTATTCAAATAAATCGAATAATCATCTATATACGATATTCAAGAACGAAGCTCTGTCTTGTATTGTTCAGAAGTGTCGATTCAGGTAAATGCAAATGATACTTGTAATGCGTATTACAAATTTTATACGCATTACATAATTACAATTGCATTTTACAAATATTTATTTGTTGTCTAATTAATAAGAATAAATAAAATTAGAGATTTTTGATAGGATTTTTATCTAT